TGGGTTTGAGTCCAACACGAGACCTTCTCCACCAATTCCCACTGATGACTGCTGTCGTTGTGTCCTTGGGCAGGACACTTGACCCCACTTTGCCTGAAGCCCTGTGGACTCAGCTCCTGCCGGAGGATCAGTGAGGGGCTGGTGCTCTGACTGCCACTCCGACCCAGAAATGGATTAAGGGGAAGAAAATGGATGGATGAAGCTGTTTTTGTTGGTTTCACAGTGATACAAGAATTGTATTTGCCATTTGCAGTAAAATCACATTGGAAAACTGTGCAGGGCTACCCCAGTGTGCACCAGACAGAGAAGACAACCACACCAGAGATGGCGCCATCTTTACTGCGCCATGCGACTGTGAGGATTGTTTCTGTATTTTTTAGTATTTTGTTTACCTTTCATGTATTCCAATGGGGTTTTACTGCAGATAGAACATAAACTGAATCTGAATATTCTTGCAGATGTATTTTTCCAGCCGTTCGTAAAGACCATATCCCCGAGGTGACTTGAGTGGATACAGCTCCTTCAGAGTCACCACCGGCCTCTTGGCTGCATCTATGACCAGTGCTCTCCTTGTTAAAGAGCTAGTTGCTGTTTGTACCAATTGAACGTCAATCTACGAATCAATCCTGTGATTAAAACTTAGCTCGAAGATATTTGTGTGTGTGTGTACCAAGAGGTCTCCCATCACAGTACTAACCAGGCCCTGCCTTGCTTAGCGTCATAGGTTTAGCTTCCAAACTTTTCAGTACGTTCACACACTTCTCCGGGAGCCGTCGACAGAACGATGATAAAACTGTTTGGATGAAAGGGGTTTGATGTGTGTGCTGAAGTTGGCTGGATGCTACTGGGAACAGTCCCCAAACACCGCCACAGTCAGAGCAATAAAATGTATTATTGATTGACTGCGGAACCTTCCACAGTCAACCATTGGTTTTCACGTTCTTTATTATTATTCCGTCTTTTTCCTGATTTTTGACACGTTTCACAGCTTTCACATTTTCAACAATTTCCACAAGTTATACATCAAAACGTTCCACATGTTTGGGAGATTATTGCTATTACTTTTGGGACTTCAGCGATTTCCGGTTTTTCCGCAATCGGACAAAAATCGGTCGATTTTTCCCATTGACTTATAATGGGACTTCCACAAATTCATAGTTTTCAGAATTTTCTTCAACATTTTCAGCATTTTCTGCAGTTTGTGCATGTTCAGCTTCCACAACTTGTGAGTTTTCAGAAAAAATTAGAGTTCTGCAGTTTTCCAGTTTTTTTCTACGGGCTTGGGAATTCTGCCATTAATTTGCATTGAGAATTCTGCAATGCATTTTAATAGGCCCATGCATTTTAATAGGACTTCAGCTCTTTCAGACATTTCTACAGTTTCAATGATTCAACAGTTTCAAGGATTCAACAGTTTCAAGGACTTCAGCAGTTTCAAGGATTCAACAGTTTCAAGGACTTCAACAGTTTCAAGGACTTCAACAGTTTCAAGGACTTCAGTGTAATCATGCAACCTAATAGGGGTTTTTACATGTAAACCAGTATAATGCAACTTAATAGGGGTTTTTACATGTAAACCAGTATAATGCCACTTAATAGGGTTTTTTTCATGTAAACCAGTATAATGCAACTTAATGGGGATTTTTCCATGTAAACCAGTATAATGCAACTTAATAGGGGTTTTTACATGTAAACCAGTATAATGCAACTTAATAGGGGTTTTTTACATGTAAACCAGTATAATGGAACTTAATAGGGTTTTTTACATGTAAACCAGTATAATGGAACTTAATAGGGGTTTTTACATGTAAACCAGTATAATGGAACTTAATAGGGGTTTTTACATGTAAACCAGTATAATGCAACTTAATAGGGATTTTTACATGTAAACCAGTATAATGCAACTTAATAGGGATTTTTCCATGTAAACCAGTATAATGCAACTTAATAGGGTTTTTTACATGTAAACCAGTATAATGCAACTTAATGGGGATTTTTCCATGTAAACCAGTATAATGCAACTTAATAGGGGTTTTTACATGTAAACCAGTATAAAGGATAACAGTTTAAAGGATATCAGGAGCTTCAAATACTTCAGGAGTTTCAAAGATGTTTAAAGTATTTTAACAGTTTCAAGGATTTCAAGGATTTTTCAGCTAAATTCCACATTAGATCTGTTCCGCAGTCAATCGCAATGGCTTCAGCCATTGCAACGGTTTCTAGTATATTATTATTGATTGACTGCGGAACCTTCCGCAGTCAACCATTGGTTTTCACGTTCTTTATTATTATTCCGTCTTTTTCCTGATTTTTGACACGTTTCACAGCTTTTACATTTTCAACAATTTCCACAAGTTATACATCAAAACGTTCCACATGTTTGGGAGATTATTGCTATTACTTTTGGGACTTCAGCGATTTCCGGTTTTTCCGCAAAAATCGGTCGATTTTTCCCATTGACTTATAATGGGGCTTCCACAAATTCATAGTTTTCAGAATTTTCTTCAACATTTTCAGCATTTTCTGCAGTCTGTGCATGTTCAGCTTCCACAACTTGTGAGTTTTCAGAAAAAATTAGAGTTCTGCAGTTTTCCAGTTTTTTTCTACGGGCTTGGGAATTCTGCCATTAATTTGCATTGAGAATTCTGCAATGCATTTTAATAGGCCCATGCATTTTAATAGGACTTCAGCTCTTTCAGACATTTCTACAGTTTCAATGATTCAACAGTTTCAAGGATTCAACAGTTTCAAGGATTCAACAGTTTCAAGGACTTCAGCAGTTTCAAGATTTCAAGAGTTTCAAGGACTTCAACAGTTTCAAGGACTTCAACAGTTTCAAGGACTTCAGCAGTTTCAAGGACTTCAGCAGTTTCAAGGACTTCAGCAGTTTCAAGGACTTCAGCAGTTTCAAGGACTTCAGCAGTTTCAAGGACTTCAGCAGTTTCAAGGACATCAACAGTTTCAAGGACTTCAGCAGTTTCAAGGTTTCAACAGTTTCAAGGTTTCCACAGTTTCAAGGTTTCCACAGTTTCAAGGTTTCAACAGTTTCAAGGACTTCAACAGTTTCAAGGTTTCAACAGTTTCAAGGTTTCCACAGTTTCAAGGTTTCCACAGTTTCAAGGTTTCAACAGTTTCAAGGACTTCAACAGTTTCAAGGACTTCAACAGTTTCAAGGACTTCAGCAGTTTCAAGGACTTCAGCAGTTTCAAGGACTTCAGCAGTTTCAAGGACATCAACAGTTTCAAGGACTTCAGCAGTTTCAAGGTTTCAACAGTTTCAAGGTTTCCACAGTTTCAAGGTTTCCACAGTTTCAAGGTTTCAACAGTTTCAAGGACTTCAACAGTTTCAAGGTTTCAACAGTTTCAAGGTTTCCACAGTTTCAAGGTTTCCACAGTTTCAAGGTTTCAACAGTTTCAAGGACTTCAACAGTTTCAAGGTTTCAACAGTTTCAAGGTTTCAACAGTTTCAAGGACTTCAGTGTAATCATGCAACCTAATAGGGATTTTTCCATGTAAACCAGTATAATGCAACTTAATAGGGTTTTTTTCATGTAAACCAGTATAATGCAACTTAATGGGGATTTTTCCATGTAAACCAGTATAATGCAACTTAATAGGGGTTTTTACATGTAAACCAGTATAATGCAACTTAATAGGGTTTTTTCCATGTAAACCAGTATAATGCAACTTAATAGGGATTTTTCCATGTAAACCAGTACAATGCAACTTAATAGGGATTTTTCCATGTAAACCAGTATAATGCAACTTAATAGGGTTTTTTTCATGTAAACCAGTATAATGCAACTTAATAGGGATTTTTCCATGTAAACCAGTATTATGCAACTTAATAGGGATTTTTCCATGTAAACCAGTATAATGCAACTTAATAGGGTTTTTTTCATGTAAACCAGTATAATGCAACTTAATAGGGATTTTTTCATGTAAACCAGTATAATGCAACTTAATAGGGTTTTTTTTACATGTAAACCAGTATAATGGAACTTAATAGGGATTTTTCCATGTAAACCAGTACAATGCAACTTAATAGGGATTTTTCCATGTAAACCAGTATAATGCAACTTAATAGGGTTTTTTTCATGTAAACCAGTATAATGCAACTTAATGGGGATTTTTCCATGTAAACCAGTATAATGCAACTTAATAGGGATTTTTCCATGTAAACCAGTATAATGCAACTTAATAGGGTTTTTTTCATGTAAACCAGTATTATGCAACTTAATAGGGATTTTTCCATGTAAACCAGTATAATGCAACTTAATAGAGATTTTTCCATGTAAACCAGTATAATGCAACTTAATAGGGATTTTTCCATGTAAACCAGTATAATGCAACCTAATAGGGATTTTTCCATGTAAACCAGTATAATGCAACCTAATAGGTTGCATTATACCACCAGACCAAACGAAGACTCAGACCACCACCAGATAATGACCACAGACCAGGTTTCCTTAGTTACAGGAACCAAATTGTTTCAGCGGTGAGGGGATTTTTCAGTTTCAAGGACACTTTCAATACATTCAGTAGTTTCAAGGATATCAGGAGGTTCAAGGATTTCAGGAGTTTCCACACTTTCAACAGTTTCCAGGTTTAAAAAAGTTTAAAGGATTTCAGGAGTTTCAATGTTTCAACAGTTTCAAGGATTTCAGGAGTTTAAAGGTTTCAACAATTTCAAGGACTTCAGGAGTTTCAAATATCTATCAAGTATTTTAACAGTTTCAAGGCCTTTTAAAGGATTTCAAGGATTTTTTTTAGCAGATTTCCACATTAGATCTGTTCCGCAGTCAATCGCAATGGCTTCAGCCATTGCAAGTTTCTAGTTATTATTATTATTATATATCTTTGGAGAGGTGACTTTAGACTTTAGCGCTGTAAAAGAAACAAACTAACTGACATTTTAGGTCAAGCAATAACATACATATCCCAAGAGGCAGGAATCGGACCCCTTCACAATAAGCGGGTCACCACCAGAACAGTTGAGAAATGCAGCTTGTAAGTCACAAAGAAAAACTATTTTATAAAATCTCACTCTCCGAGATATCTCTGGTTCCACATGCATGTGTTTTTGGCCTCTGTTTAATTTTTTTTTTTATGTGAAAAAGTATGTAAAAGATGAAATGTTTTGTCGTCTGATTTGTTTACAAGATGTTTTTTCTTTTGGACAAACATAATGTAGAGATTCTCGCCATACTGTCTCTTTGTTTCCTTATCAAAAAGTTGTTTATATCAACTCCTGATTTGAGTGGACTCAGAGGACTTTACCGAGCTAATCAAAAAGTTCAAACACAAGAAATGCGCTGATAAAAAAAACACATAGCCATTAATAAGGGGCATATGACCAATGTCCTTAAAGTCCTTTGTATTTGGTCTATACTCCTTCCACCTCTCATTCATGTGTCGCCATTGTCACTGTGTGTTTTTCAGGAGAACAGCGTGGTCCTCCAGAGCAGTGCGGTGGCTTACGTGAGCCTGGACTGTCCGGTCAGAGGGACAGAGATGCTCCGGGCCTCGGCCTCCCCCTCTCTGCTGCAGCTCACCTCAGACATACAGAGGGTAGGTGTAAGCAGCACCAGATTACAGGCCGGACCTCAGACCCAAAGACAGTGGAGAGGGCTTTCAAACGGTGTATGGGCATAGAGCATGTACAATCAAAACTACAAATACATAGGCAGGTTTGGGTTGATGCCACTTAGATGGTCCACTCATATAATAATAATAATAATAAGTAAGGAATAATGTATACATTGCAGCCCCCTGTTCGGCACTTATTTTCCGATAATGACCTGCATTCTATACATTATCCCACTTTTTATACGGCTTTGTGCAAATTAAACACACAAAATAAACTTCAGTCCACGTTTATGAATGCCGAAAGGTTTATTTAATGACTGCAAATAAAATAGTTCCAAAGGGATTGTTGTGCCGTGGCTCGGCGAGTAACAGTTCAAAACTAGAACTCTCTGGAACTACATGAAAACTGAACAAAGATTTCTGACCATCAGAGGATACACAACCTATATCGATGATCAGAGCCTGTGCAAATGCGTCCTAAAATGTTGTATTAATGTTAACAGTTACTTCCGGTTTTACTGCAATCATAAAAACAGTATTTTTGTCATGTAAACGTTAACAGATCATTCTGAAAACCTCCATGCATGTGTGTTAAGAATGTACTGTATATGAATGAATAAATGAATGATGTTCCCTGGGAAAATACAGGTGAAAACTTGGAAAATTGGGATAGCATTAATATATTTATGTAATTAATATGAAGCTAATACATGATACTCAAATACATGCAAACAGTTATACAGAAAGTATAACAACAGCTTACTAGAATGAGCTCCTGCAGGCCTCCCACGCCTATCAGAGCTCTGAGGTAGGGCTGCACGATATATCGAAAAAATATCGTTATTGCGATATTGGTGCGTGCGATATCCATATAAAAAAGATACGCCATCATTTACTTTTTTCCTTTATTAAAGACAACAAAACAGACACACATCAACATTCAACAAGAACAACAAAAAAAAAAAACTATATAGATATATGCATTTGAAGGTCATTAATGTTGTGCTTATTTTTTGTTATTTGTCTCTTGCGTTTCAATACAGCTTGCAATTTTAGGTGACAGACAAAAACATCGCAATAATATCGTTATCGCAATACTAAACATTCATATCGAATATCGCTTTAATTTCCAATATCGTGCAGCACTACTCTGAGGTCAGCTGCTGCTCGCTGTGCTTCCTGTCCACCAGAGAAGACAAGAACTTTCTCTGTCGCTGCACCAAACTGTGCCACAGCTTTCTCTTGACCATGAGGAGCACACTTTAAAACTCTGCTAAAGCCTGTATTTTAATGTTAAAATTTTATTGTCTGATTTTAGAGAATGTTCAGCGCTTGAGGCTTATGTGCGATTCAATTACATTTGACTTGACTTGAAAACAACATAAACATGCACATATAGACAAAATACAGTAATTGCTTCTTCAAATAAATGGCCCTTTTTAAAAAGCTGGCACCAATAAAAGAAAGGCTCAAATAAAGCCATCTCCACATACTATAAAAATACAAGTAAAAACCTAATTATGCCACGTTTATATATTTACACCCACGTGAACAGATGGATGCATGCAGATGGTGAGCTTAAATAATGACTCTGCAGAGATTTAAATCTACAATAAATAAAAATAAGACAAATGGGAATACGGCAATAACCAAAAATAAAGTACTACCCTACAATAAATTTGAAGAATGTTGCTTTAGAGGACATGACTCTATTCTTCTTATTACTAATGATGTTTTAACAATTTCTAACAAGTACTGAAATATGTATGCGATCTTGATGGCTCTTGGTTGGTTTAGTACGGAATGGAAGAAAAGGGAGAGGAATGAAGATTTAGAGATTAAGGTGGCATTTGAATGGATTGATGTTATGAATATTTAAACTAGTTTAGTTCTAAAATGATTATCTTTAAATGCTTTGTGCTACAAGCTGACAATGTTTTGAGTAACGCTGCTCATGTGTTTATTTCACTAGTATTATAATTATATATATAATTTAGCTTACAGAAGAGCAGTTATTCTCTTGGAACTATACTTTGTACATACACTTAAGATTTTTGTGATGTACTGTATTTCTACATCCCATGCCTCTATTCTGACAGCTAAAGCAATCGATTAAAACACCAAAGAGCAACTTGCTCACTAATATCCACAGGCCACTGCCCTGTGGATATTAGTTAGTTATTATTCAGCTAAAGGAAACACCATTAAAAGATGACATTTGTTTTACCTTTTTAATGTTTGAAAAAGTTAATTAATGCAGTGGCAGTATAGGAAGTGTAAAGGTGTACTTTATTAATCCCCGTAGGGCAATTCATCCTCTGCATTTGACCCATTCTGATGCCGCTAAGTCAGTGGTCGCTGTAGTAACAGCGCCCGGGAACCCATCTCCAGATGTTGATGCTCGGCTTGGTCAGGCCTACTGGAGCTGTAGGATTTTTACCTAGTGTGCATGTTTTTAGTGGTAGGGGAAACCGGAGTACCCGGAGGAAACCTACGCAAGCACAGGGAGAACATGCAAACTCCACTCAGAAAGACCCCGTTCCGACCAGGATTCAAACCCAGGACCTTCTTGCTGAGAGGCGAGAGTGCTATCCACTCAGCCACCGTGCCACCACCATGTGTGTTATTCTAATAGTACTAGGGATATCATAAAAAGTTTAAAAAATGTTTTCTGTCTTATGTGTTCTATTAGTGCTTATTCTACTGACCCTGATCCCCAGTTGATTGAAAATGGCTGTTGCACAAACAAGCTGCTCCACCCTCTGCTGCTGCTCCTCTTTCTTTCTGTCATCTGCTGCACCTAAAATCCCTATGCCCATTTCCCGGCGCCATATAAGATACACTACATAAGAAATGGTCTCCGCTTTCAGAGACCAGTTCTGAGTTTGCCATCACAGTAAGATATGGAGCTCACAACAAGTAAGCATTGTTTTTCTCTGACAAAATATGCTCTATAGTTAGATGCCAAACATTAACAAATGATTAAACGTTTGTATTCTGTACGATTGGTCAGACTGTCTCTGCTCTCTCCTGCTAATATATGCAAACAGCCCTTTCCTACCACTTTTATAAAATCAGAGGAACCTCTTAAATTATTCAAAGTTCTCTCCCTCTGCTCACGCAAAACATGCAACTGCAATCGTTTTACAATGGCTGCTTTGGAACCAATTACATCCTGACTATATTCAACACTATAGCCTTTTCTCTGAGATTGAGAGGTGAGATAGAGCAACTGTTGTAATGTGGGGCTATTGATTCTCAAACTGCTAAAATGACAACAGGATACAGGCAGAATGAATGGTGTTATTCTGTAATTGGCCATAGTTCTGGGAGTGTGTGGGCACTGGGCAGCTCAACAGGATTCATGCAGTAGTGAGAAGTGTATTGTTAGTTTAAATTATAAGAAGCGAAGTAGGAAATACTATCTTTTTACGGTTTTTAAAAAGATAGATAGAAATACTTATGATCATGAATCATGAAGGACATTCAATTTCTGGCAATTCATCAACACAAGATATACATAGCTCATAGATTACTTTAGAAAATATCCATCAAGTGCTTTGAATAAAAATCAATAAAAAAAAGTTCCTTCACTTTCATTTCCCCCGGTTATCACTTCCTATATTGGTGTTAAATAGTGTAATAGCTCTGGGTAAAAGGACTTTCTGAGTCTGTCTGTGGAGCAGGTGATTGAGAGAAATTGTCCACTGAGGGAGCTGCTCTGCATGAGCTGCTGATCAGGCTGGCTCCCATTTTCCATATAGGAGGAGGAAGATTTTTTGCAATTGACTCCACCACAGAGATACCAAAGAGTCCTGATCACATAGGTCTTTTTAATGAGCCTGACCAGTCTGTGTGGGTCCCCTCCTATATGAATTTACTGTATGTATTATTTATATCTTGTATAAAGTCGGCGGTTTCAAGATATCCTGCTGTATTATCCCCTTGCAGACATTTTAGGATGATCCAGGAATATGTGTGGCCATACTGGCATGTGAAAGCCGAACCCCGTCAGACCTCTGAAGCTAAGCACTGTGATGGGAGACCTCTGGAAACACCTGGTGCCAAGGTGGGGCGGCTGTAAAGTGCCAAACTGTTGTTGTGTCATTAGGCTAGACACATCACCCACATTGCCTAGCATGACTGATGGGTGCAGGGCTGCTGTGGCTACAGTAGTAGTTTATCACCACTGTGTACGGAATGAATGAGTAATGAATAAAGCGTCTTTGAGTGTCCAAAAAAGTGCTATATAAAACCAATGCATTATAGGTATTATTATGTGTTTCTAAGCAGACATACATGTGTGTGTCTGCTTATAAATACAGGACAGCTGATGATTGCATAATCTACCTTCCATGTTTCCTCTGATTTTATATTTTCATGCCAATAGACGCCTATCTTGCCTGGGAAACAATATGTAATTGACTATTGTGGAAGTCTGCAGCACATAACTTTTGATATTAAATCCTTTTGTTGTTTGTAGACAGAGAAACACACTCATGAATCCATGTGATGTATCTGAAGGTGGAAATGAAAAATAATATGGATACTGCCGTCTGGATCTCATACGGATCCCCTTGCAGTCCATAGAAGGAGGGTCCCACTTATTTGCTCACACCCCAAGCCTGGCTCCAGGGTGATGCTCTGGAAACTCAAATCTGGGCAACATAACTTGTTTCATAATATCAAAATACAAAGCTCTTGATGTGGAGAGAGTGTGCCCTGTATCTACAGTCTGTTACATTTCGTCTCCCTAATGTAGCTTAGTCATTTTCCTCCCATGGGAAAAAATGAAGACTAGGAAGTACAGATATTTATGCCAGAAAGTAAAATGTATTCAAGAAGTTTATTCCTGCTATCAGTCCTTTGCTAGAGTACAGTAACAAAGTCCAAATGCTTGGTTATTTGGTCTCCCTACCTGATGCCCTTTTAGCTGGAGGACCTCAAAGACATTTTATACTGTACCTTCGACATTATACAGT